ATGTCCCATCCAATTCCCATCCGTCCCCCATCCGTCTCCGAAACCACTGCTTTCCAAGTCTCTTTGGTAGTGTGGCGACCGCGGGCGGTGCTTTGGCCGGCGGAGGGGGTGGTGCCAGGACGACCTCGGAGAAATGGCAAACCCTTGGCTGGACACCGTGGGAAGGCCTTATGATGATTGTGATGTAAACAAACACCAGATGGAGGTCTTTTCTCCTCTGAGCGGGAAATTCCAAGGATAGTAGGTGTTTACCCTGTTTACCTGAATGGTCTGCGTGCAAGCACTTGGGTTTGAAAGAAAGTGAACGTGTTTGAGTAGCAAGTTCAAAACTTTTAGAGACCCCATTCTAATTCTAATTGGTTCTAATTGCACCTGGTCCAATTGTTTCAGTGTTGAGACCACTGTTATAATCTTGCTAAGGTACTCTTCGGAAAGATTCCCTGCATCAACCACAGAGTCTTGAATTTCCAAAATCAAAACAACATGTCACTTGCATGCAAAGCGCAAGAAACCAAAAGCTATGGCTATGACTCTATGACATTGAAACCAAACCAGCGACGTACCATGGACTGCTCGAACTCAGAGTTGGACTGCTGGCGCACGACTGCGTGGCATGGCGTTAGCTGATGGCGAGCTACACTGCGGAGCCACTGGGCCGTATGGAATATTGGCATAAGAAGGAGCGCCTGGGTCGGTTGTTTAAAAACAATTTTGATAAACATCCAAGACATAACGGCTAGATACGGCTAGAAACTGCCCCAATATGTTGAGAGTATGGCAGTAATGACACATGACATGTTTGCAAACGGATTCAGTGAGACCCAAAGAGCTGTTTTATCTGTTTTCCGGTTGGCTGTTTCATGATTACCTCGGATATCTTGTTCAGCACATAAGCAGGGATGAATCTCACTCAGCATGATCGATTGTCCTAGCTGCTGGGCTGTTCCTTCACGATACGAAGCCACTGCTGGCAGCAGAGCAATCAACGCTGCAGGCGATGGGAAGACCAGCATCACACTGTTGACACAAATTGGTATATCATGGTATATCGTTTATGCCGTTGCACTCTCTGAAGATTGATCTTCATTCGCTACTAACTTTGAAGTGGAATCACTACCTACAGAAGTCCCACAGATCCTGTCAGCCAGTCACCTACATTTCCCAATCTTGAGCCCTCGATCCAATCCCTGACCTCAACATCATCGTCAGTGGAAGCCAACTGCAAGGCAGTTACCACAGCCTCCAGTTTGTTTATCCAGCAAAAGCGGTCACTTCCTCTCAGCAAACAATATATTATACTGGCAATAACACATATTCAAATATCTGGATTCAGCCTGAAATTGGCACAATCAAATGCTGTACTGTTGGGCACATACCCATGGGATTCCATGGGCACATATGGGCACATATTGGGCACAGATGTCAATGAGCTGCGCCTCCTTGCTTTTGAGTGGAGCCACACGGCCCAAGTTCGCCTGCGTCCAGCGCAGAAAATTGGGTGCTTGGGTGGGTTAAAGTGGGCACAGAAATAAGAATATCAAGAATCATCAAGAATCAATTTCACAAGGTGAGGCCTTGATTTGCCGATTCCACTAACGTCTTCTTCCATTTCTGCCGAGCTGCAGCAAGTGCCAATCGAACTTGCTCATCGGGATCATTGACCATTTCCTTGTCAGTTGCTGTGGCTCAAAGACCAACTTCAAATTCTGACAGTTGAAGAATCGGGCCTCATGAGTCAATAGCAACTATACATAGGCTGGCGAAATTTTCATCATCTCAGGGATCTTTGCATCACATACAACAATACACACCACCAACCGAATGCCATCCAAACAAAGGTTCCCGGACTACTTGACGTATTCATGCCAGATTGCTGGGGCCCCACTCCATAATTCCAGGCCAGAACAGCTATTCTGTACGTTCTAGATGTGTGCTTCAAAATTTAAAAGCAGAGCCAGTGGTGCTTTGCAATTGCTGAAAAAGGATGAAAAAGGGAGGTGCAGTGATGTGCAGTGTTGAGACACACAAATTCTGGAACATGTCGATCTGCTAAGTGGCTTCGATTTTTCTGGCATGAAAACTAAACCATTTGATGATCTGGGGTCAGTATAGTTCCAGTTCCAGTTCCAAAAACAAACAATGTAATCGCCGCAATCGCCCTTTTCATTTCTGTTCAGACTTCTCCACCCAGTGCGGTTGGTCCTTCACGCGCTTCAATCCCTTGCGATGGCCACCGATAACCTGCATGCCAAACAGCCTGGTGTAGGCTCGCTACTTTCCTCCGTGCAAATAATATAGTATATCATTAGTAAATAATTATATCACATTATATAACTAAATATACCGTACATAACTATATAACTATATAATATATGGGTACCCATAGATCGGCCACCCGGAATCCAAACAGCACAGCAGAGTTCCGCCATGGATTTGAACCCCATAAGATCCGCCTCGCAAACACTGCAAAGTGCCAAAACGGCGAAGCGACGCACGCTCCTTGCGATCTTGTCGTGTCATTGGGCTCTCGAGCGAATAAGGTCCTAATGTCCTACTAGACTACAAGATACTACAAGTAGGCAACAAAATTAGATCCCCGATCTCCACCAACTGCAGAAAATTGGTTTGAACTGAATACTTCAAGCTTCACTTTGTGGAAACTGCCCCGGATTTCAAGCCGACTTTTCTTCTTGTGGATCTACTTTGATTTCCAGCTGTGGATTAGGATGATTAGGTCACCGCGCCAATGCTCGTGTTGCAGTTTGGGCGTTACAGCCTGTCGAGCCCAGGCTAATAGTGGCAGTGATGGCTGGATTCGGAGAAAATAGGTGCAACGTCACACGTCCGATTTGTGCCCAAATTTGTGCACACACTGAGAATTGGCACAGCGTCAAGCGGCCTCAATAGCTAGGTCCAACTTCCGTATGCGATCATTCCGCTGCTCTTCTTCCTCCCTCAGGCGACACAATCATCTGCTAGTAACTGCTAGTGCTACTGCAAACTGCAGTGGCTCAAGTTGCAAAAGAATGCTAGAGAAGAAACTAATCGATGTTTGTACAACTCCAATCAGGCTCAGAATGAGCATCCAAACATACCCAAGGGATCTGGTCCAATCACAGCAGGATCTTGAGGGAGTGTGAGCCCTTGATTCACTATAAGTGTGATGAAAGCACAGCATCAAAATACAAATGTTTGCAGCATCTGATTGCTTCATTGGCAATTGATCAAAACTCATCAAGTACATTCAAACAGGTCTTCCAAATGTCCAAGATCTACCAGCACAAGCCAACGCGCAGCCGTTGCTTGAAAGGAAAACAGATCGAACTAACATGAACTAACAGCTCTCCCATATCTCCCAGACCTTCTCCCAAGACCTCTGAGCATTCTCAACTTTTAGCGATGTTCGCCCCCAGGATCCGAGTCTGGGTCTCCCGTCCCCGACAAAACCAAGGCCCGCAAGGCGCTGATGGCTCCACGGCGTGGTGCCCATTCTGACCTCAGAGCAAGCTGAGCACATCTGGATACGACTAGATTCTGATCAGATCCAGTGGATCTATCAGGGGGTTAAAATATGTTTTTTGATATGCTATACAAATCTTTTTTCAATATGTCAATGTGAAAGTTTCATGAAATATTTCATGGCTTAACTTAAGCATCGTCGCAGGCTTATCGTTACTCCACTGTCCCCTTGATGGCATTTGGCCAGCAACTGCCTGTGGTGGAGATCGGCCAAAAACAGCCAGCTGGTTGTTGTGCTGCAGATCTCTGGAAGTGCGGTGCATTCTTGATCTTTTGATAGAGGGGCGTTCCAAAATGTTCCAAACATGCCCCATGGAACTTGTGAAACAAGGATCACCCATCCTAAGATGTCCAAATTTAATCGAAATTAGAAGCTGATTTCATTCAGACACGTGACAATGATTTGTTCAAAATGTTCAAAACAAGTTAGGAACGCATGATCAAAGTAGCCAACATGTGGAGAACATAATTCATTAATCCAACCCTGGTCCTATCCAAACAAAATAGGCTAGGACAGGATTCTTTTCTTGTGCAAGTTGGCTGTGTTTCAAGGATCTGATACCCACCTCAGGGACGTAGCTATGGCACCCAGGCCCTTTTTTGTTCCACGTCAGCTCAGCGGGGACATGCAGACGTGGGGTCTGTGGCAACAGCCGAGATTCGGGGGAAGCTGTCCGCGGCATGACCACAATGCACCATTCCAACAGAGACTGAGGCGTTCGACAATTTCAGAAGCCTATCTGTCCAGAAACATGAACAGGTGAAGTGAGGAAAAGCTTGAAGTCAAGATAAGTCAAGTAAACAGCTATCATCACATACCCACGACTTGAGATAATATGAGTCTTCCCATTTTTTTTACGTTATACGTACATTGAGGCCACTGTGCCTGACTCGTTCGGTTCGTTGAGAGAAAATGAATAAGCGTTCTGTCTTGAAACATAAGGCACTCTGGCTACTGCCTTTGCCGGGGCGTGTTCGCTTTCTCTTGTACTCCTATTCCAATCTAAAAAGAAGGATTTGCAACATTTTGCAACTACAGGAACGGTCATCTTGGGTAGTCATGCCATTCAATGCGGATTTCCAGACTGATTCTGCACCAACTACTGTCACGATTCGGAGCTGGTACAGGTCATCAGACCTGGACTCTATGTATAGGTCACTTCGGACTCTGCCACTGCGGCGCAAAGGTTGAGCAAGAATAGGAACATGGACTGTTCCTGAACAACTAAACAACCCAGGATTTACTAGAATCTCCTAAATCAATACTAGCGCAGAATGCAATTGATGTGCTACCGGTATCTCTTGAAGATGCGGACTCTTGCTCCCTGTGGCCAGGGCAGTAACCAAATCCTTGGGGTCTGTGGGCGCCGAAGTGGATATCTCCACAGAACAAGAGGGGGAGGATTGATTCTGAGCTTGCAATATGTTGGGATATCTTGCAATGCCAGACTCATTTGCCCTAGAACAGTTTCTCTGACTTAGGGGTCACCATCAAATTCAAATGTGCCACAAACCAGTGAAAACAGACTGCGCAGCAGCACAGCAGGTGCATCACAAAGCTTCACGCTCGGATTGGCTGCACAGTGTCATGAGTTGCGTTCTGCTCACCATTTTTTGTTTGTCATTTTTTATCCAACCTGACCTTAGCACGGAGAGAAGCTGAGCGAAACTTGGAAGGTCAACTGGACAGAACTGCACTCAGAAGCTACGATCTTACCGCCGTTACAGCACTACACACGACACACACACACACAGTGTAGAAAAAGTGACGGGATCTATCATCCATTGCATGAGTTTCAAATCAGCTTTTGACGTGCCAGATCAGCCTAATCCAATCTAGAATCTGTGGTGTCACGGCGACACTTCTTGTTGCGGAGATTCGGACAACTTCAGTCTTCCATGTTGGCACTCATATCTGCACATTCTGCACCCTAGCCTAGCACTTACCAGCACTTACCATCACTTACCCAGATATTGGGAAGAAATGGGCAGGAACTCCCTCCACCCCCTTCAGTATACCACCACCAGTCACCTCCTTGTCAAACAAGCTGCACAGCAAATCTTCACTACGGTCGTGATGCCGACCCATCAAGCGCATGGCATGGCCCTGGAGCTGTGTGGCTGCCGTTGGAATCGTTGGAAAGGCTTGGAGTTAAAGACACGAATCCAAACATCGCCGAAAAACTGTTGAGCTCTTGGAGACTCTTGGCCACACACAAAAAGAATTTGGACCACTTTTTGAAGTACCATCAGGCAAATGTCCATCAGTCCATGTCGATCCATGTCGTGTGGGGACATCTATCATCTAGCTGCCAAAAACATCAAAAAACAGCATTGCTGTGAGCGCCTAGAAGAGCTCGGAGTCGCAGTGTCCAGCTCCCGCGCCACCTGATGAGCTGGAAGATCCGGAGCCCGAGGCACCCGAGGAAGAGGAACCTCAGGCCATGATGGCCATGGCAAAGGAAGGCAAAGTATCAAGAACAAATTGATACACGGGAAACCATAAGAAGTTGGGCAAGGACTCTTTAACATCATTCTTCCAAACCGTGATAGAAGCCACAGGTAGGTGAAGAATGGTGAAGAATTCATTCCATCTAAGGGGCAACGGGATCTTTGTTTCGACAATGCAATTCTGTTGTTTCGATAATGCAATTGCATGCATCACGGGAGGTGGTCGTGCTATCTTTCGGAAAGCGCAAAAAAAATGATGATGCTGGAAAACAACTACCGCATTCTCCAAGGCGCTAGAACCACCAGCGCCAGATCCGCCAGCGCCCGGGGCGCCACCCATGGCTTTGGTGGTCTGCAGCGAAGCTGTTTGGAGAGGGATGGATAGGGTGGATGAGATGGTGATGCTATGATGGATGATGTTGATATTGTTGATGTATAGTTCATGTATGTCAATCTAATAATTGTTCTAATACAAGTATAAAATAACTATATAACTATCATCCACTTTGATGCTTCCATCTCCCAATTGTTTTCCCCAAGATGCCAAGATGACCCATGATCTTTGGCTTTGGAGGGCTTATACGTTGAAAGGAAGGAATGTATGCCACGGACAAAACGGCACCTGCTCCGTCTGGCGGCCGTTCACGTAGAGAAAGCCCCAAACCTGAGTTGCAATCGCGACTTCAAACCCCATTTTCGACACAAGAAAACGATCAAGAGACGATGAGAAACCCATCCTCAACGCAAGTAGCAGCAAGTGTTGCTACTAAACCTGGCGTCAGAACGGACTCCACATCTGGGTTGTCCGACTGCAAGCAGCAGAAACATGAAGAGATGCAAAGGCGACATGCCGCTGTTCAGAGTTAGCCTCAGGCATGACGTCAGATCGGGATGAAGTTCCTCTGGATTGCTCGCTTGTACTTCTATAGCATGATCAATGGATTCAGTGGTCAACTCTCTCAATCCAAGTTCAAGATAGTTCAAGTTTATAATCTATGGGAGAATGCCGCCCCTCTGCAGGAACTGTCTTCTTGCAAGGTGATTGGCTTCAGCTTTTTGAGATAATATGTTTAAACGTTTAGACTACAATATGGGTTGCGGATCAGCTTTCTCCCAACACTCAGGCATGAGGAAAAGAAAAGCTTGCTGAGTATGTTCAAGTGTAGACTCCCCTTGGTGGTTGTCAGACGAATGTCACCTGGAAAGAATATTCATCATTGATCGATTGAGTGTTGAATTTGTAAAGCAAACGAAACGATCACTCCGCAAAAGGCCTCAAAGGGTGGAAATCTAGGATCAATCGCACAAAACGTGCAACAGATTCTATAAACTATCTGAACTGTTTGGAGGAAAAGACCATTCAGGCACAGCTTCTACTTTTTGTTGTTCCCTTCTGCCAGAAAGAACAACCTAATATACAGAAAAAGGCTGTTCCTCGCCCCAAACTGGAGATCCCGTACGTGTCGCTTGTGTCGAGATCGCTGATCGTGTGCTGATTGGACAAGCCCTCCATGATGCTCTGCAGATTGGCGCCTACAGTAACCATGGAGGTGGTGCTGAAGTCCTGCTGCCATGGTGAAAGTCAGAACAAGGCTTATATATTTGGGTTGGCATAAAGAAAAACAAGGGCAAAAGAAACCTTCAAAGATCTTCAAAGTTTCCAGAGTCTCCAAAGTCTCCAAAGTGCAACTTTTTGACGCATACTGCATATGTTGACAAATAAATTTACGAGTGAGCTGTCGTCTGTTGGCCCTCAAAACAAAGAAACCCTTTCTGACTGTTGAGGCCCTGGTATCAACGAGATCCTGGTGGAAATGTGGGTCTAGGCAACCGGCTCTGAGAGCGGATGAACTCGCACACCTCGGCAAGGATTTCGCACCATTCTAAGTAGATCTAAGTAGTTTGCAATTGCTGATCAATACAGAATCAATAAACATCAAAATAAAATATGATATGACAGAAAGGGCTCTGCTCAATACTTTGGAGAGGATAGACAGTCAAACCTGCTTGTCTTGGTGACGTCATGAATCCCCAAAAATGCCTTTCAGGTCAGCAGTTGTTCAGAAAGTAGTTAGTTGCACTCGTCACTTCACCTTCACCACATGAAGACACCGGCAAATGTGATAGATCTGAAACCCTGCCATATTTCCCGATACAGTCCGGCGTGATCTTGCTCCCATAACCTTAACCCGTCACTAGGGCATCCTGGCGCAATCCCAAGGGCTGGACATGATGCCCTTGGTACACCAAGTGCTTTGGAGGGTTTTTCAGTGCAGCCCCAGCTGGGTTTGAAGCAGTTCATTGTTGAAACAAAATTAAACATGGAGTCTCATGGAGTCAGGAAAGCCAGTGCCAAACTGCTTCTGGCTCTAAATGTGCCAAGAGTAATCGGAGCTGGATGTGTACTGGATCTTGTACTGGTAACATCTTGGAACCAGAAAAAATGCTCCATCCTGACTCGTTTTGCCATTTCTGAGAAAGGAAACGAAGGAATGGTTGGATCATGTTGGATCAATGGGGCCAGCCTGGCTGCGTAAAAATCTTCAATGCAGCAGTTCAGAGAAATGTCCACTGAAAGAACAAAGGCATACAGGAGCACAATAGGCTTTGGTGTCGTGGTCTTGACTTTGGGAAAATTTCAAATTAAACAGGCCCTGAACCTGGTTTCATCATTCATAAACTCATGTGAAATTACGCAGCTTCCCAACTAGTCTTAAGTCCTAAGATATCCTAAGTCTCTTGGCAACTGCATCCAGCTGAAAGCAGAACTCCGTGACGCAGTGACTTGTTGTCTCATCACATTGCTCTAAACAAGCTGCGGCTCTGCAAGTCAACACACCTTGGACCCCACACGGAGAAATCAAAAGACTCGCAATTGGAAACAGGTGGATAGCTGATGAGCAGCGCTGAGCCAAAAAGGAAACGGATCACCTACACAGTACAAGTTTGTGCAATGTTCTAAGAAGTTCACTGAAGGTTCAAGATGCTTAAGATGGTTTAATGATTCTCAGGCAAATGGTATGTTGGACAGATAAAAAATCATAAAATAAGACTATATCAACCTCTTGGCTAAATCAAAATACCTCCTAGAGATTGGCCTCAGAATTCCCTTCGCATTGGCGCAGTAGTTGCTCAGCTCTGGTTCCCACAAGGTCATGAGTCATAACACAAAGAAGGGCATCGGATTTCTTCCAGAAAATGTAGTACACAGTAAGATGATGTTGACATATTCCAGAATCTATAGAGGTAAATCATGGTGAATCCCAGTAAATCCTTCCCCGGCCCCATCCAGGAACTGAATCATGAAACAAATGTGCTCAAAGGACCCAAGTACTAGTTATGGTAAGCTAAATCCTTTGGCATATCCGCCGCATTGGACCGTCGAATGGTCCACTGATGAATCACATTGAAACCCTTGAGGCTCAAGGTGAGACTTGTCAAAGCAATGGAGCACTGTGTCCGGTCTTCTGAAAGTTTGCCAACAATAATCCACTAGTCCTGTAAATCCAAAAAGGAAACAGTAAAAGTCACCAAATTCCTTCTACGGCTTGTGAGTGCTCCATTGTCCTTCCTACAAGAGGTAGGAATGTCCTCTCGCTACGAAGTGAGACATTGATCTTCCCACAAAGTGAGACGGTGGTCGTGTCTTTGACAACCAGAATCGCTGTGATGTGAGAGCACCTGTCTTTAGGTGCGGGGCGTTAACCTAAGGCAAAGAGTCCTGGCGAACTCACAAATCAAGGACCTGCGCAACTGAAGCCGCGGCAACACTATGAATGACATGTTTTGTAATCTCTAGTCTATAGTTAACTGACTACGTGACGTCAGCCAGTCTGATATACTCAGGACTTTTTCCTTCCTCTGATAAAAACATCTCAGGCTGGAAAGACTCCTCTCACTCTATATTAATATGTGCAACGAGACGAAGACATTCTCTGGCGCTGTTTTTCATTCACCTATTAACAATATCATCCATCTCTGAGAGACGATTGTCAACAAGGTGTTTTCATACTGCCGCCTGGCACCAAGAATTTCGCCGTGTCACCATGCAATATAGCAAAATGATGCAAAATGATACAAAATGAATCCAAGATATTCCAAAGGGTTTACATGTGTTTATGGAAAGAAAGCAATCCTATTTGTCACCAATCACGAGGGGCAGTCCAAGCACATGCTCTCAATGACACTGCTGATTTATTGCCAAGCCTTTGATTTTGAGGTAAACGAAGAGTGAAGTGTTCCTGTCCCCTGCTGGCAAAACCGACCGCTTCCATCTTTGCCCCATAGAAAAAGGAATGAAGGAGAGCCAAGGGCCAGTGAAGTATCATACTTAACGTCGACAAATCCAAATATTCAGCGTGGTCAATGAAATTCAATACGCAAACTTTACATTCTTGATCTTGATCTGATTGGCCTCAAAAGTACATCAATAGCTAGACCACCGGCATACATCACTGAACGACACCTGTCATGGCCCAAAAACATCCGTGCTGGCGTTGGCTCGCGCAAAGCAGCCTGAGAACAGAAAGTTGGTTCATCTGTGAATGTGAGCGCTTCAGATAAAAACATGCCCCCCCCATTTGCGTCTGGAAAGATGATCCAAGCTCGCAACAATTTCCCAAAGGAAAATGAAAGTGGGACAAAACAAAGGCATTTTAAAGTGGCAGTGTCCACATGTGTCCACGGTTCTCTCGCAAAAATGGCAGCACGTCATGTTTGATGGCATGGAGCAACAATATCACATTGGCTGGCCAGCTCTCTTCGGGCTCAAAAGGAAGTTTTTTTGTCTGTTGATCGCCACTGCAACAGGCACTCGCGGGGCAAGTGCCTTCTAGTTTAAATGGTTCCTGAGACCGACAACTCCTCAGGACTACGAACATGATCTATCTAAAATGATTGAAAAGTGAGCTGACACGCATTGAGACGCTCTAGATGCTCTAGTAAATTGGGCGTTCTTGAGCCCTACGAACTGCCAAGAGATACTCAGGATAGATGCGTTCACTGTGGGTTGTCATGAACTCGCGATAGCGTTCTACCACGGTGGATCCTGCAGGCACAGAACCCATCTCTTCTGGAGGAGTTGTTTCCACAACCTGGCTGTGATATCGGAGTTTTGGCCATGCCTCAGGCGCAAACTCAAATTCTCTCTGTCGCGCCCGCTGCTTTGTCTGAGCCCATACTGAATGTCCATCCAGTGTCCATTGTCCATCACGGGATCTGGCCATCATTCCAAGGCTCGCCCGACAAACAAAGATGTAGAAGGTTCGGCCTGGGTGTCTTCGGCTTCCGAGATAGAGCTTGGAGTGTAGCTCATTGTTGCGCCGAAAGAACTCTTCGGGTTTGATGTACTGGTCCACCTTTCCTGCGTCTTCCGCCAAATACGAACCAAAACCGAAGCATGAGCGTGATGAGAAGCGCTCGTTCAAGCCTTCACGGGCAATCTGCAGGACTTTGGAGGGATCTGTGCCATGGAGCAAAAAGACTTCGTTCACCTGGTTGCCGCTCAAAACATCAAACACACCAAAGGCTACTTCCTCCAAGCAAATATTCTATACCTATAGATACCTATAGTATGCTATAGTATGCTATAGTCATGTATAGTCATGGCTTCTCTCAATTCCCGAAGACTATGACCTTTGCATCTCTTCGCGGGTACCCAGCCACAGGGCTGTCATCATATCTTAAATATATATATATATATAATAAATATATATATATATAATGACAGCATATCTTAAATATAAAATGGCTATGTTGGTGACTGCTGAATTTTGCTGATATAATGTTGCTTGCGTACGTACCCTATAGTTATACAGTAATGAAATTATGTCCATCAAACCATATCAAATGAAAACCGCACAACACATGCACCCTCCAAGAGTATGCAGTTTACGCAGTTTACATTTACCCTGCAAGTGGTGCATCATCATCGAGCAGGACATTGAACAGGACAAGGTGTGGGTCTAGGAGTTTTTGGATGTGATTGACCCGCACCTCTGCATCCAGCTGAGCAAGGTCCTTTGTGGCAGCTTGCAACGACTCCTTGATGTCCACCGGTTGCACCTGAATTCCGCTCACCTTGAGATCAGCTCGCATCTTGCACTGCTCTGCACGATACTTGGCCCACAGCCCTTGGTGTTCCACCCTCCAGGCCCATAGAAGTTCCAGGCCGCTGTGCTGCGCCGGGCAGGCCTGGTCTCGACCCCAGCCGATCCAGTCCAAGTTGTCAATCAGGATAGCAGCCTGCAATGCTCCAATGGTTCGGTCCTGCAACTACCAACGACTTGGCACAGCACACTTGGCCGGAGTGGAATCGAGAAGGTGAAAGCACATTGGAAAATGTGGACTTGACAGCAACCTCAATGAAGCTGTTACGTAGTTTTACAAGTTGGTGAAGTTTTAACATCCTTTTCATTCATGCTCATAGACACAACATTCAGTTGGAACGGAGGGCAGGATCAAGCAAGCGTCCTCAACCACTGGCACAAGGCTCACGTCATCGCTTCCACTGCGACTGACCCAATAGTCCGGCACTGCAAAGCGTTGCTCCACGCGGCGGCGTTGCTCCTGAAGCTGCAGAGGGCACTGCTAAGTGATGTCTTGAAGAAACGACCAACATCTTCAAGTCTGAACGTGGGTCGCTGTATTGTTCATCCTACAGAAATAAGCAGCTGATTAGATTCTATCTAGATCAACATGATCTTTTGCACTGTGGCGGTACTGTAGTTTTTGGATGGTAAGGTACCGCGCGTGCAAGTGGCAATACAGTACGTCATATTGTTTTCAAGTCTGATAGTCCGAAAAGGGTTTGAAGCAGCCTCCTACATGATCACTGACTCTGTACCTGCATACAGTCTTTGGTCTCGCTCCGAGGCTGACAAACAAAATTTCGCGGACATGAAGCTAAGCCTGCACAGTACAGTAACAAATCAAATGGCCTGTCATAGGCTTTCACAATTTCACAAATTCATTGTATTCCCACCATGCAACTTCCAAAGGCTATTGAATCGCATAAACCTATGACTCTCCCCAGCCAAAACTTGACCCCGCACGACCCCGCAGCCAAATCTTTCATCTGCAGCGCCTCCAACTGATGCCTGGCTTCCAAAAGGCTCTCGCGCTTCGCGGAAACATCCGCCCGGTCGCGGGAAAGCTGCAGCTGCTTGGCTTCCAGTTCCTGCGCCTGTGGGAATTGACACGGACGCCGCTATTGAAGGGGGGCAATGACATGACATCTTGATACATCTTGTCACATCTTCATGTTCAAGGATTTGTTGCTTGGAGATGTCTTGCAACTGGAAGCTAATCTAAACAGCTAACACTACCATACCTGACATCCAACCTTGTATGTTCACTGTTCAATGGCAAGATCCGAATTAGCATGTAAATCATTTCCAACTCTGAAGCACAAGGTTGCAACCACTTTCACCAACAGCCAGTCGTCCAAGGACAGCAGAAAGGCCTGACTTTGGATGAAAAAATCTTTTTCTGCCAAAATCTGCTCTTGCTTGGAAAGCTCTGCAGACTTGGCCGTCAGCTCCTGTAGCACAGCTTCCAGCTCCTGGCTGTCAGATCTCATGGGCAATCATGACATGTACCAGGGGACAAACCCCAGCAAAAAAACATGTCATGTCATGTCATATCCAGGAATCCATATCATATTAATATCAATGCCACTTCATCCTCCTCCTCCCATGCACCCCAGCAAGCTGAGATGGGCCTGGCCTCCTGGTTGGTGGAGGTGTTCAAGCTTTCCATAGCATCTTGCCTCTCCCGCACCAATTTCAACTCCTTCTTCCTGAAAGCAGCCTCTTGCTCTTGCAGCGTGGCTTGCCTGAAAAGTCAAAGGCAGCTCAGAGAATTGAACCCAAACCACCCATGTCAAATGGATTTAAACATATTATATATAATTATACATAATCCAAGGATGCACTGGTTGAGGAGGGAAGACCACCGGGAAATAAGACTTGCGAGGAACAACTTGACTCGTCTTAATCTCAAGTCCTAAGATGTCTCAAGTCCAAACATTTCCGAGTTGCAGCCTTTCAATTTCAGCCCGCAATTTGTTCAGGGCAACTTTCTTCTCCTTCTCGAGCGCCGCTTGAAGCTTGGCGAAGTCCGTCTCTGCATCCTGCAGCTGTTCCAACAAACTTCGCTCCCGATCTTGGTGTTGTTTTTCTTTGGCCTCATGCAAACGTTGGGTTTCCTCCAGGGGGCGGGCCGTCACTTGTGCAACAAAGACATGATGAATGCAGTAACATGGGTTCCAAAGCATCCTATGCCAAAGTCGCCCTACCCTGTTGCCCAACTCCGTCCTCCAAAATCTGAAGGGCTTCTTCCTTCTTCTTCCGCTCGGCCTTATGAGCCTCGTGCACCCGCGCATTTTGACTCTGGAGCTCATCCATTGCGGCAAAGTGAGTCGATGCGTCAGTCTCCAACATGTCTTGACAGTGCAAGGCAATGCCGGGGAATTTTTGCGCGAAGCCATCGAGCGTGCCACCCGCAAGGCCCCACATCTCTTCAGGTGAAAGGCGGAAGGGTTCAGCATCATTCTTCCACAAGGCCTCTGACATCGAAACACTGCTGTTGTATTCAATTGACACCATCCCACGCTCCTGAAGAAGATCTTGGAGTCGCGGGTCCAAATTGGAGCCTGACTGCTCCTTCTGCGACTCGTCCAACATGCGGAACATCTCCGTCGCAACATCGGGTGGAAGGGTCCTGAAGGGAACTTGCTTTGCTGGGAAAGTTGCATCCACCGCGTTGAACCAATCCTCCCCAAAAATATCCTTCCGCTGTGCAACTAGTGGGTCAATGAACAGTGCCTCACCTTGAAATTCGACACCATCAGGCCAAGCACGTGTGTCTTGATGGACCATCCAAATCAAATCCTTGCCTTGGAGGCTCTTGCGATATTGGCTGGGAATTTGCTCTTTTGGCACCCGAAAAATTTTCATGTGCTTTGTGATGAAAGTCCCTATGTGGTTCTCTTTCTCCCACTTTGCGATGGCCTCGACAAACTTCTTGGCTTCTTCTTTTGGCATTGGAGCACGTCTCAATTGCGACCTCTTGAAACAGCGCTCCTTCCCACCTTTCAGTTTCACAGAGTAGACCTTGGCTGTCGCATCATAGAGAATGATGCTGCCCCTCTTGCCATCCTGTGTGATTACAGGAGTGCCGGGGCTCCAGTGTGTGCACTTGCCACCTGCAACCAAATTGTCTATGGAGGGAAAAAAGGTGTGCATCTGGTTCCCATTTGCCACAATTTTGAGTTTTGATTCCATCCCAAAGGCCTTGTAGAAGGCACGACGGTCAGGCTCAGAGTCAGAGGATGAATCTTCGTCATCTGCACGCAAAGCTGAGGCCTGCTTTGAGATGCTCTCGTTGACACGCTCTGCGAATGCAGCCAATGCTTCTGGATCATCCATATCTATGTTTTTGAGGTCTGTGAGCTCATGTTCAAGCGGGTCGTCATCTTCTTCACCACTTGCTGAAGAACATGGCGACAGCTCGTCGTCCACATTGTCTGATCGCCGAAGTGCCTTGATAGCTTGCAGAGCAGCACCATCCACTGCCTCCTGCTTGGCGCTTTCCTCGTCTGGGTGCCTTGAAATATCGACCACTCTTCCCAAAATCAATGAGTTCGACGGCATGACGCTTGGCAACTGCATGCTGCACTGCAAATGATTCTCATCCAAGCTCTGAATCAAGCAAAGGAAATCCTCCGGAACAGCCTCACGCTCAAGCTTAAGTTTCATCAATTTCACCAACTGTCGTACATATCCTCTCATGCACAAATCAATGCTGTGGTTTCCCAGAGGCTTCAAATTGGCTGGCTTGATCAGCTTCTCCTCTCCATTTGGCAACCTGACTGCGTGTCGGCCTTTTGAGGTGTCAAAGCCCACAATCTCACCTGTCAAGCCATTCAAATCTGATGCCGAAACCAGGTTCTCTATGAGGGCACGGGATCCAGGAACAAGAAAAGGGTCTTGCTTCGGCTCTTTTGAAACTGCTTTTGAAGCCAGGCTGGCTAGCGAGAGCAATGCTCCCCGACTAGCTAACAGATTTGCAATGTCCCTTTCGTTGGCCATGGCAGCAGTGGTGAGGGCTGACTGCCCAAGCGTAGTCTCATGGTTGATGTTTGCCTTGTGATCCAAAAGTGCTTCTACTGCTCCAAAATGTCCGTTCTGACAGGCAGCGATCAAAGGCGTTTGGGCAAATTGGCCAGGTGCATCAACAGTTGCGCGGCATGAAAGCAATAGTTTGACAATCTCAGCCGACAACACCTTGTCTCCATGACATGCTACCGCAAGTGCTGTGCCTCCTTGGATTGTGCTGGCACCCACGGATGCCTTTTTCTCAAGCAAAAGTCGCACCATATCAATCCGACTGTGCAAGCAAGCGCCCATCAATGCTGTAGTTCCATCATTGGCTGCCAGATTGACGCTGCAGCTCGCAGCAAGAAGCATGTTAGCAATCTTGGTTTGACCCTGCTCACTGGCTACCATCAAAGCTGTCTCACCAGTCATGCCTGCAAAGGTTGCAAGAGCCTTGTGCGCTAGAAGTAGCTTCACCATCGATGGCTGACCGCGCTGGCTTGCATGGAAAAGAGGTGGCCACCCCCTCTCATCTGTGGAATTGGCGTCCACTTTTCGTTGCAACATGGCCTCCACAGCAGCTGTTTGTCCTGCCAGGACTAGCTGCAACAAGCGAGCGCCATCCATGGCTTTTTGGTCATCTCTTTTCTTTGATTCGATGATGGGCTCATCGGCACCCTTCCGCGGTCGCAGCTGTCGCGCCTTTCGCCCCATTGGCTCTACGGCAGATCCCCTGAGCTGCGCGGTGGATTTGAGCAACAGCTCCAGAGTTACGGCTCTGTTGACCGCCGGTGAGAGTTGCCGTAACACCCCCTTCCAGCTCAAATTGCATCAATTCCTGTCTTGAAAGGCTTCTGAATTCTGAGTGCATATCCGTTGACATGACAAATCAAGCAGATCTTCTCGAAGATCGGTCAGTTGCTCTGCACTCTTGCGTGAACACATCAATATATTGAGGACCAAACTTATGTAGCCGCATGACCTTGGCAGTAGCAAGTCTTATTTATTCGTTTGGCGTACTCACAGACTAATCCCAAAGTGTGGCAATGACTCTTCCCAGGAATGGCATTGCCAGGTATCAACCGGACCGAGAGGACCCTGATGGCGCAAAAGTGACACAGCACTGAGCCCTTAGAGCCCTTAGAGCCCTTTCGACACCAGAACCATCCGGCATCATCCAACATCCACGTCTCGGTAGTATGAGCAAGATCTGTTGTTTCAGGTTGGCCAAAGCATAGCATTGCTTATAGCATGTGTGAACAGAAGTACAACTATCAAGCTCCCAGACTTCACACCAAACGCTTCATCTTTTTGCCTGGCCAACGATCAATCTCATTTTAAACAGCCAACTAATTGTCCTGTGTTGGTGGTGTCAGTGTTTGTCAGGGGCGTGCTGGACTTTGCACTGCACTTGGGTTGGGACTATTGTAAGAAATCTTTCATCAAGTGAACCTAATCAGTTTGTTGAATCACTGGACTTGAGCGGCTTCAAAAGCTGGAAACTCTGCCAATCTGTCTCCAAGCCAATGATTCATTCAGTTGACCAGGTACTATTATATAATTATTTATGATGTACACTAACAGTCACTAACACGATGAATGAATCACATGCCACACTTAATATCCACAAAAAGAGCACGAAGAAACACGGTCTTTGCCTAACAAGGTCAAAATGTCCTGCAACATTTGGCTTTTTGTTCCAATATGTTCCAATAGGACCAGGAGAATGTCAGGGAAGCACATCACCCTGGCCGTGGCCTGCGCTCTTTTAGCGGTCCAACAACGCTCAGCGGTCACTCCAACAAGCTGGAGCCCAATCGAAGCTTCACCTGGCGTTGGATTGGACCATTGGACCATGGACCACCATCGAAATGTCAAATTAGCCATGGAAAATCACCATTTTTAATAGGTAAACCCAGGTAAACCTAGGTAAACCCAGGTAAACCCAGGTAAACCATCTATAAATGGGCCATTATCTGTTTACCATCTTACCATATCTTACCATCATCCAATCACTTGGGAAGTACAGCTTCTTGCAATGTCTTTCTTATATTTGTTGAAGAAACCACGACCCAGCAAAATCATGTTGGCCAATGGATGTTCCGTGCAAACTCAGGCCGGTTGTGCGCAGGAACCTTCCAGATCCACCAAACCCCAGAGCCTTGTGCATCTGACCATTGGTGGCGATTCTGAATCTTTGGATGTCCAAAATACTAAAGATATCCAAAGATTGGGGAATGTCTCGCATGGACATCTCAATTCTATTTCTGTGAGTATCGCATGGACATCTCAATTCTATTTCTGTGAGTATCTGTGAGTCAACGCATCTTAAAGTGGAGTTGCTGTTTGGAGGTGAATCTTTGACACCAGAAATTACCTTCTGGAAAGTGAGCCGCCAAGAGATTTTCATAGATTTTCTGGTGCTAGGCAAATCATCCAACAAATTGAGAACCTCAACTCACCTGCCAAAACCATCAGCCGTACTTCCAGCCGTTGATGGTAAACCCCCTATCCATGTATCCCTCAGTGGCTGGCGGGGCGGATGGATCCAGTCCAGTGAAGGACAAAGGTTTCTGCGCAACCACCTCCAGCTGCGATCCAGGATCATCAGGATAGGCCATGCACATAGTACCCTCTGGTAAACTAACATAGCTATGGAAAATCGCCATTTTTAATGGGAAAATCCACTATAAATAGCCATTTTCAATAGCTATGTTAAATTACCAGAGGGTAAGCATCCTTGAGTCACAGATTGTACATATCACACCATCATTCCCCATAAAAAAGGCCCAATCTCAATCGGCCTTCCCGTTGAGCAAAATCCGCATGAGGTTTGCCGGCTGCCCTGCGATCACCGCAGTGAGCACCTGGGGATCAGCTGAAAGCCTCTGATCCAAACTCTTCTCATTGATTGGCCATAAACATTCATAAACTATATAGACTACAATACTATAATGCTACTATAAAATCTATATTTTGAATCATGCAAATATGCATATCCCAGCAGAATATGCAATATGATTTTGGGACTACGAGTTGACCTAAGCTCAAGACATCTCCTCGTTTCAATTTCGCGGGGTTGTAGGAGCCCTGCTATGCAACAAGCCACCAAACACGCGGGTTTCAGCAGGTTTGATTGAGACACCTTTGATGAACTTATATATTTTGATGTGCCATGTACCTTTGACTGTCTTGATATTCCTCCCAACTTGTAGAAACACCCTCGGCCATCATGCTGTGCATATTGCCAACATAGGCGACCAACTAACTACTTGCAGCTGCTGGCTATCCACATTGCATGATGTGGCAAGCCTTCCTAACACTTTGAAATGCTTTATTGGCTCCATCATGACACAACCTTGTGTCAACAACGAAAAGCTCAACCATCTCTGCAAAAAGATCAGGGAGGGTGCCTCCACCAGCTCACGATTGCCTTGCGGAGAAAGTAGAACAAGGTAGTCAATATACAATCACCACGGAGCACAACTTGCCAATTGTCTCACTTACAAGACAGTCTTTGTTTTGTTTTCTATACTTACCCCAGCCTGGAGTGACCCATCGGCCGCTGTAGCCGACCACGCAACTCCTGCAACGATGGATGTGCGATACTTAGTCTGCACGTGGAACTTAAAATTGCACACCCAAACGATCTTGGCAGTCTCTAGTCAAAGGTGGTTTTGCTCAAATTCAATTCAAATTCTGAAGCTGATTGAATTCATATATTTCTTCCTTAGCATCTGCATAGCCCAAAGCCCGGCCTGGGCATCTCCAAAGCCGTCTGTGGAATAGCCTTCCGATGCAAAGGCCAATCCTCTGGGTCCTGGTCACAGCCAAGTTCCATGCCGCTCGGTTCAATTCAGCCTCTGTTGGCCGGGTCAAGCACAGTATAATATGTATAATGTTGAATTGAGGAACTACTAGTATAATCTAGTAACTACTGGTATATATTTAACAATATTCATGTATCGGTGTAACATTTATATACATAAATAATCATAAATACATGTGTTCCATTCTTGGTTTCACGTGAAGAACTGATTAAAACGAACGTCAGCTCCCAGCGATTCCCAGCGCCTGTGCAGTGAATCCAATCGCCAGGCCATCACGATTGGGCCGAGGATCCACTTCCTGCCAGTGACTTGGGGAAACCATGGGGAAACCATGGGGAAACCATGCCAGTTCAGTCGCCATATGTACCCATAGTTGCAGGTGAACAAACACACCCAACCGGGGAACACCGGGGAAGGATGGGAAGGGGATCCACTGGGTCTCACAAAAACTCCATTCGCCTCGAGCACCACGTCAAAGGTCACCCCGCGGGATGCTGGAGAGTCAGGACACACCTCGAGAGCGAAGTTGGTTCAACTCAACGCCAGGTAGGCTGGGTCCCAAGTCTGGACAGCTGCTGGAACCTGAAATGCTGACAATCACAGCTTGTGAAGTAAGTTTATTAATCTGTAGGCAAGGTGTTGGAAACCACCTTGCCTGCGGTTGGCTAGACCTTTCTGGTGTAAACATGTAAACTGGGTATATCAAACTGGTACAATTCGCCATAATTCGCCTCCTCTTCAATCCACCATAGCTGCCCTGATCCGCTGGGTGTTGAAACGTTGCCACGGATTGCCAGCGGCTTGGACAGCATGGCCATCCCACCACTGCAGCAAGTGCTTGAGGACGTGGATGTGATCGATGTCGCGCATGCTTTCACTGGTCCCACCATGGATTTCATGACTCTTACCTTCTATCTGCTCTAGTTCCGTGAGATTGTAAAACAAAGTATACTTCATGACGCCTACATTTCTCGACCAAAGCCGGAAAGAAATCAAAACGCACTCAATAAAACTCAATCTATTATCTTCTCTCTACAGTATTCATTCTATTTGCGCCAGTGCCATTTGCCTACCAACCGAGGCGGTGGGCAAGAAGGTGTTGTTCTCACCTGCAAAAGGAACTCCCAAGTTCCAGTCAATCAAAGCTGCAAACCAAGGGGAATTCATACAAGTTTTATGAGAGTTGGCTGGAAGCAGAGGAGGTGTTTGAAGAAATCGAGTCGTCTAAATTGATACTCCAGACTGATACGCATGCGATAGTTTCCGAACAGCAGAATTGGCGCAGCGATAAAGAGAATGATTGACAAGGCTGCTCATTAAGATAAGATTCACACATGCATGAGCTCCAATGCCAGGACACCTATCCGCTCTGCAACGCGCTTCTTTACATCGGTCCTGAGAGCAAAGCTATAATTATAAAGTTTACCGTCAGTCTGTGTAAATCGGATGCATGCTTGACTTCTCAGCTTCAACGAACCCCACTCTATTATAGTCTCTGGAGTTTGCCTTCAGAAAATATAGAGTTACACGAGCCTTCAGCTCCAGTACTGTCATGCACATAATATGAGCAACATCATCTGAAGCAACAATGAGCAGGCCAAAGTAGCTCGTAGCACGCTCTGTCTTGCTGTGCCAGCATTCATTGTTCAGTTTCCCTCAAAAGAAAACATGAAAGCCAGCAAATTTATTTGTCCCATGAGTGCCATTTGCGGCCTGAATACTTTGTGCAAAAGGTGCGTTCGATTTTAGTCTACACTATAGGAGTTGGCAAACCACAAAGTACCCCTCCGAAACGCAGATGACTGTAGTTTGATGCACTTTGCCAAAGCAGTTGCATATATATAGCCTGAACTTATTTCCACATGTGATCATCATCTTTAGTCAATCTTAATCCCCATATTTCCACGTTTCTATATATTATAATTTATAATATATATATATATAATATATATAATATATATATAATATATATATATAATATATATATAATATATATATAATATGTGTATATATAATATGTGTATATATATATATTATAATATGATATAATATGTATATATATATGTCCCCATTCGGAGCGCCAAAATCTGCCAAGAATCTTCACTGCTCTGCTCACAAAGGTCTCATGGAAGCGCTGTACCGGTGGAGCTGAAGCCAAGGTCTGAGCACGGTGGAGCTATCGGAAGCTGGCGACCTGTCCCATCTGTAGAGGATTTCTATGAATCTATTGGATTCCATATTGGATTCCAATGGATTCCATATTGGATTCCATATTGGATACACAGGGGATTTTCATGATGGATTATGAACTGAGATTGATTGGCTTGAAGTTTGCCACTCATTCCAGGGGATTCCCCCCAAAAAAGGGTCCTGTAAACTTTGTCGGTTGGCTCCTGATTGAAACCCCTGTCTTTTGACCTTTCTCTGCTGCCAGGACTCAGCGGACTCTAGAAAAAATTGGGGAACTCCCAAGAATGACAAAAGAAGAAGGTACATTGACATTGGCAGTTTGCTGACTCTACCCAATTTGTTTTTTACGAAACCCAACCGCTAGAGAACCAAAAGCAAGGCACGCACAACTGAGCATGCAGCCAGTCTCAAAGGCGGCGGCTGCAAGCTCCTTTCAGTGGCAGTGGGTTTGGGCTTATGGGTTCACGAACTACTGCAACGGAAGTTTCTTCACGACAAACATTGGCATCACTTCGGGTCAATAGCTTGTAACATGGCTCATTGGTGAGTCCTGAAAGAGATCAAGGTTACAGGATGTTAGCGGTCATATACAGTCATCTTCATATCTCACCCACCTGGTAAGAGCTGGCGAGGTGGCATTGAACCATGAGCTAGTTGTGGTTCCTGTATGGCCAGCGCTGTCAACGTTGGGTTTGGATGGGCATAGCTCTGTCAAGAAGTCAGGGTGATACAGTACAGTGAACCGGTAGGACCACAGCAAGATCAAACAAAACTTGCATAAAAAAACAAACTGGGCCGGGGTGATCGCCCCAAATCAGTGTCCGCTCTTAAACCCGTGAACCAACCCCTGGATTTTGTATGCAAAGTCGAAGTGTTTGAATGGTTCCAAGATGTTCTAAGTCTTTGTGATTCTCTTCCACCGGCCAGCAACCAACTGTAGAGAATCCAGCAATGAGGCACCCAAGACCACGTGTCCATGGCACAGTAATATGGGAAAGGGTGGACCAAATACTCCAACTGTCCCAGGACCAACCGTGGTACCTGTGGTACCTGATCATCATATGAATCTCGTCAACTGCTTGATATCCAGTCCAAAGATTTGTGGTATGACGATTAGATTGTTAGATATTAAATGATATTCATCTGGCCCATAGAGTGTCCACTGCACCTAAGGAGATCGACTTTGTAGTCTGCTTCCTGGGAAGGCAGCAGTTGCGTAAATTGAGCAGTGACCCAAACCCTATGGTTGATTTGTCGAGATGTGATTAGAGAGGACTATACTACGTGGCTTAATTTGCGATTATTGTCACTGACTATCAACCAACCAGTATGATTTTAACACTGCTGAACTGGAATGGATTGGATTAATTCTGACCGGTGAGTCATGAAGTGGAGAAAGTTAGGTTTGCTAAAGGCTACAGTGAAGTCATCGTTGCTTCTTGACCTGCTTGGCTGCTAAAGCTGGGGCCCAGGGCTTCAAACTGAAGGGTTGAAGCGTACCATCCTTTGGGTCTGCCTGTGGCTTGATCAGATGCGAAGCCGGACCACTGAAACTCCGTGGAATCTACGAGTAGGTTCTTCTTTGAAATCCAAGGACGGCCGCTGAGAGTTTGATCTTGAAAGATACTCCAACGCTCGCCTCTTCCTCCTTCTTGATTGAGCGATTGAAGTAGAGTTCCAGCATCTTATCCTTAAAAAACAAATCAAGACTCAAGACAGTGAATTTGAATTACAGTAATGCGCTTGCTGCATGAGCATGCTACCAGCAAAAGCTAAAAAGCAAGAAAACGAATAGATAGGGACTGCATGAACATTATTGAATTGTGTTGGAGTATGACCCTGTGGCAAAATTGTGCATCCTCCAATGGAACCTTCATGCACCAAAACATAAATCTCTGAACAGAATGTAGATCCTGATATTTGACGGACTTGAAAACTCATCCTCCAACTCTTGATCCAATAGCCAACTGCACCTCCTCGCTCTCCTCTTTGTAGGTGTACCTTATCATTCCATGACTTGGAACTGGCACCTGGACCCCATAATGGGCGCAGCTGAAATGTCATTGTTGTCTGCAAGCTCCACCAAAAATTCTAAGGATTGCCATAGCCGGCCATAGCGTTGTAGTTGCGACACGGCTTGGTTGCTTCTCCCCAAAGCGCTCTTGAGACAGGAACGGAACCACTGGCAAATCTGGAGGCTCCTGCAACTGACAGCAATATTGGTGCTGTGAGTACAATTGGCAACATCTTTCTGGGCATTTGTCCCACCAGAAGCGGTGCCTCCGGGTCTTCCTCTTCCACATAAATCTGTTCTTCTTCTGATTCACTGCTGGACCTCGGAAAGTCAACAAGTACTGACACTACAGAATTGAGATTATCCGTGAAGCCAATTGCTTTAGAATAGCCAATGTTCAATGGTGTCCGGTATATCGGTATATCCGAAATCAAATCAATATTGCGACTCTACCATCTTATGCACAAGTATCAGGAGTATCAGACCGAAACTTGGGCTTTCATGTCCAGACTGGAGCAATCTGTTGTGTACAGTGACAAGTGTTTGTCCAATCAAGATGTTGGTCAGTTTTCTTTGTGTGGTATTTAGGCTAACGACAAGAAAGGAGCCTAGCGAAGTGTGAGATATGCTTTACTCTCATCCATACAATATTGTACACATTCCCTTGGGCAATCCAAAAATTAAACCCAAAACTGAGAATGTGACTCCTCTTCTTGCGTCAGCCGCACCTTTTACAATAATTATACATAGACAAAGGTGGTGAATCAGAGGAAACATCCGCTGGACATAAGATTTGGCGTTCTTGGAATTCTTGGAAGTTGTGGATATCATCAAACTGACGGAAAGGGAGAGGTTGGCAAAAGGCTTCCCTATGACCTTTGGGGGGGGAAGGTTACCACCAGCCCCCCCCCCATATCACTATCATATTTCAGAACTGCCTGCAGCAAACCAAGACTTGTAGGGTCCTGACCCCGAAATCAGAAATTCAAATGGTTGGCGACCACAGCATCCAATAGCAAGAGTACTGGGCAAGATATTAACCCGGTTTTTACCCAACGGCCTTGCGTCTAGCATCGCGCTTGGGCCCACCAAGGCAACAAATCAGCATCTTCGTTTTGCCATACCTGAGATGTCCGGCGTTTCAACAGAGGTGGTTTCTCCGTGATTTCTACAGGAAAAATAGGAAAATGAGGAAAATATGATACTAATGAGTGAGACCCTTCATGATAGTCATGTCCTATCACGTCTTGGCTTTGTGCCACAGCAAGCATCTTCACACTGGGTGTCTGCACTCCAATGGCCGCCTCTTGTAGCCCTGCAGCAATGTGCGGTGCCATGTGGTTCAACCACTGAATCACTCAGAATGAAAATTGGAATCCACATGCTGCGTGTGCAGACAAGAACATACAAGAACCATAGTGACCGTACTGTAATTTCAAGCATTTACTGGCCAAACGTCCTTTCCACGAGACTGCATGAGCAGTGAGAATCATTGCCGGAATTATCAGAACTCTCGCACCCAGCCAACAATTGACTCTCGGGAAGTCTCTTGTTGCATGCAGCGCACCTCCGAATGTCAACAAAAAAACTTAAGGAATTTTTAAAAAATCAAAACCTCCTCCTCGTCTTCCATCCATGGCCTCCATACCCTGAATAAAGTGACCGTTCTTAGCCCAGGTTCTCGCACCGTGTCGGTTGGCAATGTTGGCGCGTCCATGGACACCGAGGTAAGTCGCTGAATGCGACCCATGTCCCTGGGATAGGCTGTGATCAGTTTCACTCGGCTGAATCTTTACGAATGTTGGGAGGATTCGGAACGATCCGTTGTGACATTCAAACATGAAACTGGTCAGAAATATCGCCAACATGTTGCAACATCATCCTGTCATCATTCATCATCATCTATCATCATCTATTATCATCTATCATCATCTATTATCATCTATCATCATCTATTATCATCTATAATTCATCTATTATCATTCATCCTGACAGTACCAAGCATGTTTCACCAAGTCCTCAAGGCCATCTTCAGCAGCTTGGTGCCCCAGCCATTCATCCTCAAGCAAGAGGTTGTCCCAATCCTCAGGAGATTCAGTGGCCACGGCTGGGCCCCTGCTTTGTTGGATTAGGATAGGTCGGATAGGTTCAAGGTGTATGGACAACCCTGACACAAGTGAGCCTGCTGCGACAAAAACCTGTTGAATACTGACAGTATGCCAAAACTGTCTACATATTTAATGATACGTAGACTGTTGTTTTTGCAAAGTCTCCACTAACCACTCTATACTCCACTGTATGTGACGTGTACATGCCGTACTGCAACTTATAAAAGTAAGTAGTGTATAATGGTGTCATATTGTAAGACAAATACATACAAATACATTACATCGTGTTCATGAGGTGCTTCCAAATCATCCAAATCACAATATATTCTGCTACTTTGCCCGCACGAGAAGCACCCAGAACATGCCCAACGGATGCGGTACAAGCGGCTGTTGGCACTGGCAACAGCTTCTCATAGCTTTCCGCTTCAGTATCTTCAACAAACCTGTGAACACCAGGGTTGGGAGCGGGCGTGACGCTACGACCAAAGCTGGTGATAGCAACGAGTAAGTAGTACCAGTACACAGCATATACCAGCGTCACGGTGACGTGATACAGTGACTCTGACAGAAAAATGCGACTGCGTCGACAGTGACGATAATGTTGATCATTGTGATATTGACAATCATGGTGATCTGATTGTGCACGGGTGTTTCATTAAAAAGCATTGTCACAAGTATCAGTGTTGACGTTGGCGGAGACAAGGCTACATATCCACGATAACCATATTGACAGTTAGGAATGACCACGATGATGATGCTGGTTTTTGCATGTGTTTGCTGTTTTGGTGGTTGCGAAGATTCTGTCAACCCAACTCTTTAGGATTGACGAAAAGATACGAAAAGCATCAAAAACATCGCTCACTCTTCGCACAAAGCACCTGTCGAGACACTCTGCAAGGAACTTCAGGTCTTTCAGCTCCGACTTTGTGCCGGTATCCTGCACGAAGCATGCAAAGAACTACCCAGTACTTTAAATTCAATCAATTTCAATCAGGTACGAAAACCAGCATTGGCAGTGGGTCGAAGTGGGGTACAGTAGAGTACAAAAAGAACGGATGGAGGTTCACCACTGAAAATGGCCAAAGTCCATATGGATTTTCTGGGCTTTAGACGGCTTTAGATTTTGACATTGGAAGGGTATATGTTGAAATTCGATAGACTCATTTATTGTATGTAAATTCCATTGTGACACCCCCGGAAAGTGGGTTTTGGTTGCTGACGGTGGTATGTAGTGATCCGATACCCCAAATTAGCCTTCTGCTCTCCTGGTGTTTCAGTGGCCCGCTGGGCCCGCTTGGCGCTTTTTGTGCATCAGGGCCATGATGTGCAAGGAGGCTGCAGTCTGGCACAAATCGAAAGGGAAAAATGATGACAAATACCCAAGGATTATATGGCAGTGTGTCAAAACCCTATCCCCCTGGTGAACATCAAAATAGCTGGTAAATGGATGTTCGTCCCTCTAACAATGGTATTAATAGGTATTGATCCATACCCATATGTTACAGTAGAAATCGATGAGAAATAAGAAATGAGAACATCACTAATCATGGTTTGCCATGATGCTGTTTCAACAGAAGTATCCAAAATCATGCCATGCGTGGTGACTATAGATTGTGCTGAATTGAGGGATACAGACTCAACCACCAACTCATTGAAACAATTTTTGAAACATCGGACCATTTGCATTCAATTGAGCTATATGGAACTATGAGAACTTTCAGAATCTTTCAGATACATATGCTGGCTGATCTTGGAGGTTGCATCATCCCTGGCACCTTTCGGAAGCCTCACTTCGGCTTCTGGAATTGTTTCTGCATCGTTCGTCCCAGACCTGCTAAGCGATGCCCATGTGCCTCGTACATCCTACACCATCTATGACTCACCTGGCTCATCTTCCGCATGAATCAAAAATGGGTCCCGTATACAAACACTGGACAATGCTACAAACATCTCCAAACCTTTTCAAAACCATGTTCATTTTCACCAAAGTTGAGACCGGTTCCTGTTTAACACGGGTCTTTTAAGCTGTTTAAATGGTATTTGAATCCCTTCCCAACTGCCAATGCACTCTCCCAGTCACACAAAGTGACTAAGCGCTTCCAGATAGCTGGAATATGTTTGAACATTAATTATTATTGACATTGTACATTAAACACAGACATAGTTAAACAAATTCCAGATCCCAACCAACTCTCCAGCGACTGCTTCAAACATTTGATGAAATTCATCCCTGGTATTCAACTCTCTCTCTCTCTCTCTCCCCTGCGTTTGAATTTGAACATTTTGGGGTTCAAGGCCATAAACGAGTGGAAACAGTCTCATGTTTTAACATGCGTTGCGCTTCTCAGGGGTATTTGTACATGTCTCAACTACTTGTCTGATTACCCACCTTGCGATTGCACAAACTTCATGGAAGCACATCAAACGTATTTGAGGTCCCGAACGGCGCTGTCTCTGATGGCGCTGTGACAGCCAATGAGCTTGGAATTGTCTCCTGTTGCTACAGGTAATGGATGTATGGACCATGGGATGGTTTTGGATGGTTTTGGATGATTGGTTCATCCACAACCCAAGGTCGTGCAAGATCCGCATCTCTTCAGTCAGCCTGACACAACAGTCCTGCATTTTGCTGTTCATGCGCTCATCACCTGCCCAGCATACGGCAAACATGCAGTCCTGCAAAAAGCATGTCCCAATTTGTCACGCAGCTTGTTCCACGGGTATCCACAGCTTCCACACCTAGTGGTGACAGGTGGTCCTCACCAGTATCTTCTAACCTCCAGCGAAAAAAAAACGGGGGACAGCAATTGCAGCCCTTTGATGCTCGCCCACTTCACATAATCGCCAACGCTCATAGATTCTTGTAGGGAAGTCTCTTCCAAAAAACATGATCAATTTGTTTTTTTTTAAACCTGGTTCATCTTCAAACTCAATGGATGGAAAGCACACCATCTTCAGCAGCCATGGCCGCTCCACCACTGAGCTTCACACCGCAGCCCACCGATGGCACCCGGCAGCTCAAGCAGTCGCCCTTCGGCCTGCGAAATGGTCCCTTTCACGCCACAGTCCCAGTGATTCATGATGGGTTATATAATATATATATAATATATATAATATATATATATATAATATATATATAATATAATATATATATAATTAAATAGATATAAATAGATAATAATAATGGTTGTATCATGTTATATCAGTTGAAATCCCCAACTTGATCCGCTCTTCCCAGTAAACTGATGTAAACTGTATTGGCTCATAGACTATCTCATAGAATCATTATGAATCCTTGACCTCCATTCTGTTTTGGAAAAGAGTTGGACTCCATGAGTTGATTCCCAGGGACCTCAGCTGCCTCCTTCCTTCGCTTACGCATCTCCCTGAGGGCGCGCAGTGCAGTTGTGGTGTGCGGGTTCAGAGACATGGTGTGGCGTTTTGAATCTGTTGCATTGTGCACAAAAATGCAGAATGATATATATATATATAAATATAGTTTTGTTTATATATACAACTGTTGGTTCAAACTCTGCAACATGATCTTGTATGACACCATTGACAACATTCTGTTTGAAGTGAGATCCTGAACGCGCAGTAAACGCTTAAAGTCTTGGAGCAATCCACCTCTCAAAGGCTCTTAATCGGATAAACCCTCCATCAAAAGAAGTTGAGATCCAGACCGGCTGATGTGGACCAAATCTCTCTTCACCTGCGACTTCCGTTGTTGTATGGGTCCCATTATGCAAAGAGGTCATGGACCTGTCCGCAGTGCCCAGCTGTTACTGTCTGTATACCACTCCCTCTCTTGGATATCTTGGATTGGAGCAACCCCAAACGCAATCGACGAAGTACCATCACGGAATCATGGAAGTTCAACTGCAAAATTGTCCATGGCCCCATTGGAAGTAAATTGCCGCAAGCCTCGTACATCAAGCGCCCACATGGAAGGAAGGCATAGGCCAAGGAGAGGTACAAGCCTCAGCAGCATAAACAACCACCTTCTTGGTGTTGATTGAAGCTATCGTTCTACAAACGATAACATACGTACGTATATTAAATCATTAAATCCTGGTACTGTGTGACTAGGCGCGTCCAATTCAAACGTCCCCTTTTTGAACAGTAAGATTGCTAGATATTGCTAGCTAGCCTATTTGAATGCAGTCGTATTTCAGAGACACTGACAGTGAGGAACAAGCCTGCACAACTGGGATTAGCATCATGAATCAGACATCAACATCTCTAGAGGTTGTCTACCATTTCAATTTACTTGAATTTAAGATACCCTCTGGTAATTTAACATAGCTATGGACAATCACCATTTTTAATGGGAAAACTCACTATAAATGGTCATTGTCCATAGCTATTTTGACATAGCCAGAGGGTATTTTCAACGTTTATCCCAGAAAGTGCGAAAGCCAACACGAAAGGAACGGCCAGGTCGAGGCTCCGCGCGACACCAGGCGTCCTTCTCCGAGTCATGGGAGTTGCACATCACCACGCCGTGGGACGCCTGTGACGTGACGCGAAGGCCATCCAGAAGGCCACTGGCTTTCAGATTTTGTCCAAACATGGATATTTTACCCAGATAGATGGGGGATACCCTCTGGTGAACTAACATAGCAATGGAAAATGGCCATTTATAGTGGATTTTCCCATGAAAAATGGTGATTTTCCATTGCTATGTTAGTTCACCAGAGGGTACCACCAACCAATATCATTGAAACGAGAAATATTGACTTTTTGATTCATGCAACCTTGCGGGAGCAAGCTGAAAGTCCAAGGCTGCAAGGAAGCCCTCTGACTGAGGGTCCGAACTGCAAAGATGGCAGGGAGCATGGCGTCCAAACCTATGCATACAATCCAAAGTTTTGCATAGAACTTGAGGCTGGACGTGGTGAGAATCGTACAACTGCAATCTCTCATTGATGCGAATTGCAATATCCTTGATCTATTCGTGTGGAGGATGTTGAGTGACAAAGACTAAATGTGACACAATGCGACCTATACACCTCGGCGACGTACTGTATTTCACAAGTTGCATGATGAATGTCTTTGTGCCAGACCGCAGAAAGCTATAGAAAACTATAGAAAATTAGAGACAACTCTGGTACAGAAACTGCAGGAGCACCTGCAAAGTCGGCATCCTCTTTGCGACCCGCCGTCATGTCAAGGTATGCCTGGTCCACCCTGGGCAGGTGCAATTGTGCACTGCTGCACTCTGATTGGAGCACTTTACCACCATGCTTGCCCTCCATGATGCCATGAACGGCTGCAAATAAACAACTGAGGTGACAGCACTTCTTCCACATAATCTTCGTCATCTAAGTTGTTCCCTGTCGCCTGTCCAAACTGGCACTTTTGCAGGACTGGCGCAGCATCCAATTGATCAGTCTTTGCATTTCTTTGCTGCAGGAGCTATTCTATACTCGGAGCCTCAGTAAAATAAAATGGACAGTTTTACTTATCTTTCGGTGTCTTCCCCTGTGCTGAATGTCCAGGTGTGCAGTCTCTCCCGACATCCAAGAATAGCCATGCACCTATAGTATTCATTTCCTGACACTAAAACAGTCTACAGTGTACAGCATGCAAACTGGGGGTCCAAGAAATCTGCAAAGTTCCAACCAGCAGGAGGTTTCCATGGGGGAACGTGTCAAGCATCAAAACCTAAGGGACCATTGTCTGATATGTTTTGGGGGATTTTGGGGGTGAACATCAATTTACCCACTACATCCCACTACAGTATTTTGGTGTTCACCAAGGTACTAGGGTTTTGGCCCATGTCCAAGCTGATGCTTGTTGGAGTGGGACATCTAGTCTAGGCACCCCATAAAAACCCTTCCAACTCCCCCGGTTCCCAGGAACCTGCGACCATGCAGCCAGATCTCAGTGCCCCAGACATTCATCGAAGGTAGCAAAGGTAGAGCTAGTAACATCAAAAACCCCACAAGGGCAAAGATACCATGCAGAATTGTATCAAAAGTATTTTTCTTTTTTGCCAGAAGTGTTTGGATGTATTTGGTGTGCCACTCTTGGCTGGCGCAAATGGGACTTTGCCATTTCCAATCATGGAACTCCAGGAATTGAGGGGTTGTAATCACTATGTTCGAACAGCATGGGCTGGCTGCATCCTGGGCACTGGCAAGACCCCTCCGGTCCATCAACTTGGCAAAGTTGGATTGCCTTGGAGCACCAGCGATGGAGGTACATATTGGGGCTGAGACACCAAATTTTATACATCATTTTACCATATCATATCGATTCATGTTAGCATATCTCATCAAATTCAGGATGGAATAGGATGGACTTGGTGTTTTTGGTGTTGGACCAGTCACTCAGAGTCACTCAGGTAGGACGATCTCAAACACCAGGCAGGACAAGAGCTCTGCTTCCGTAGCAATCCGTAGCAGGTGTGGCTGTACCACTGAGCTCCCCAACGGACCCGTTGAGTCAGGGGACACCGGCCTTGGCAAGAGCTTTGTCACAAAGAAAGTGTCTGTTCTTCACTACGACACCATAGAGCCATACTGAGCTTGACCGGTCTCAAATCCTCTGAGTTTGAACTAAAATGCGTGAAAAATGCATTTATAATGGTGTAATGATGTGTAATGTAAAAGCTAATGTGGTGAATGCTCGCACATTCTGTAGGTTTGATGCCTTCGAGCTGGGCCGTGGGCATTGGCTGATCATCTTCTGATGCCCAAATGTCGGGCTTTACCCGAGGCTTCTCCGGCATTCGACCCTCAGAGGCAGCTGTTTGACAAAGTCTTAGCAGCTCAGACTGTGGAGAGGCATCCTGTGGCCTGTGACTGTCTTCCGAGTTATCCCTGAAATCCCCTGAATATGATAATGTGTTAATTTTGTATGTGTTTGTCTTCTACCAGAAGAAATTTGAAGACTGCATGGAGCCTGTAACGGCACAAAAAGCCTACCATGCCTACCCGTAACAAATAAACAGGCGCATATCACAAGATGCTGCAATTACTTTACTTCGTGTGATCCCCACCATGACATTTATACATTTTCTTACTGGCAAATCTTCTGGCATTCTATCTGACATATCTTCTGACATTCTATTTGACATTCTATCTGGCATATCTTCTGGCATATAATCTGGCATATCTTCTGGCATATCTTCTGGCATTCTATCTGGCAATTCTTCTGGCATTCTATCTGGCATATCTTCTGGCATTCTATCTGACATATCTTCTGGCATTCTATCTGGCATATCTTCTGGCATATATTCCTGACATATCTTCTGGCATTCTATCTGACATATCTATCTGGCATATCTTCTGGCTATCTTCTGGCATTCTATCTGGCATATTCTTCTGGCATATCTTCTGGCATATTATCTGGCAATCTTCTGGATCTATCTGGCATATCTTCTGGCATATTTCTGGCATTCTTCTGGCATATCTGGCATATCTTCTGGCATATTCTTCTCTTACATTCTTTTGACATTCTTTCTAACTTTCTTCTGCACATTCTTTGTCCCATATCTTCCTACATGAGAGGTCGCGGCAGGGCACACGGGCGGGATGGTCGGGTTGAGGGCCGGAGGAACACTGGGCGGGGATGATCGTGGTTGAGGTCCGCAGGGAACACTGGGCGTGGCACGGTTGACCGGCATGGGAACACTGGGCGTGGATGGTCGTGGTTGAGGTCCGGCAGAACATGGGCGTGGATGGTCGTGGTTGAGGTCCAGAACACTGTGGATCGCGGGTCGCAGTTGAAGCAAGGACGACGAGGACGACGAGGACGACGAGGAGGACGAGGAGGACGAGGAGGAGGAGGAGAGGAGGAGGAGGAGCAGGAGGAGGAGGAGCAGGAGGAGGAGGAGGAGGCAACTGACATAAAATCTAACAACCCTCACCTGGCAGGTGGGGAAAAAGACAAAATCATCACTTCATCGCACTTCCATTGAATACTGCCATACGTAGCCACTGCATCAACAAAAAGGGCTCCGGGCTCTGATCTCTGGCATGCAACAGCAATCAATCCAGAAGAAAAGCTCATGCCTCGACAAGTCAGGGAGCAGTCATTCTCCAATTCGGAAAAGTGTCAAAACTCAAAGAAGGTGGATCCTCATCACCATGAAAAGTGTTTGCAATATCTTTTGGATGGTGCTAATCACCCTGCAAACCAAATTTGATCTTCTGAAAATCCTCGGTCCTCATGGGAGCAACCTATTGTGGGTAGTGAGGCTGTGGCCCTTGCCGTTTGAGCCCTTTTTTTGTGGAGCTGTTTGCCTCCAGTGCTTGCGCAGAACAGCATGCAGCACAGCCGCGGTGGCGTGGAAAATTTCGGACTGTGGCCACTTGGGGCCAAGCAGTCCTCACCAGAGTTTGCAGCAGGAGGTGTTTGACTCCAAGATGGATGAGAAAAAAATAATCACACATCATTTAATTTACATCTTTCTGAAGGATTCTTTCCAGCACCAATGGAAGGTTCCACCGCAATCTCTTTCACGTCGAAGTCAAACTTCACTGGATGACAACCGTCTTGGCTATTGCAGTACAGCACGCGGAGGTTGCAGTAGTTGGTGGAAAAGTCTCGGATGGAAAAGGTACTTCTTGTTGCCAGTGACTGGCTGAAAGTCCAACATATCCTTGTCGCTGTCGATCAAAGAGTAGGTTCCATTGTTGTGAGGGTCGTGCCACAGTCCTGTTGACTGCCCATCCACACGTGCTTCCATCTCTGCCTGGACTTGTTCACAAGGCACACAAAATGGCGCTGCGAGAACGAAGAAACTCTTCATCCTGCAGAGACAGCACTCAACCTAAAAGGCAACTGACTGAAGCGTAGCTCGAGCCAAAGCACGTCCTTGCTCAAGTTGAAGCACCAGTCCAAAAATATTTAAACTTACATAAACAGATAATGATAGATAATGTAGGATGTACATGTGTGCAACAATGCATCTATCAATGCCATCTACAAATATATAATACAGTATACATGTTATAGTGTCAGTTGCTGCATGCCCAAGTTGCACCCTTCAATGCCTTCGAGGCTTCAAGTTGAGCTGAGCTGAGGACTCTTCACCCCATCGCCAACGGTACCACCTACCATGTCGCAGCGTCAGTGGAATGGCATTCAACATAGGAAAACCATGGAAAATCATGGAAAATCATGGAAAATATATATATATTTAAAAAAACAATGAACAGCACATGCATTTCCTACACAGTCGCAAAAACAAACAGACTTGCAAGGCATGTGAACCTTGATTTTTAGAAAAATGGTTGGGACGCTTGTATAGACTCAAACTGTGGAGAATGTGGAGAGGCTGAATGCTCGATGCCTTTCCCCACGGACTGAAGCCGTCCAACTTTGAGGCTTTCTCTAAGTATGTAAATCTACGATCTGAGAGAGGCAAGATCAACACAGTAAATAGATGTATATAAATAGTCCCATTCCTCTCACAAATTGGAATGCTTCGCTTCACTTCAAATTGAATGTGAAATTTGTTTCTGAAAGCCGCGCAGAACGGACTTATTGCTGAGATAATCCCGAAAGATGCTTCTTTGAGATTCTTTGTCTGAGTTTATCTGAACATCTCTTCCAAACAACCTCTCTGCCTCGGTCGCTCCCAACAAGTTTTTGTTCACACCAAAAGACTCTCAGTCTGTTCATGGATGAACAATTCTTACATGACATGATCTGTCCGATCATAGATGAACGTATTGCACACGATGAATTTGTTCATGCAGGGACAGAGGAATTTGTGTATATATAGTAAAAGAGTGTGACACCAAACCATGCAGAAGGCCTTGCAAAAGTCACCAATTGTCTCCAGGTGACGCCGTGCAAATCCGGCGAAGCTGTACCTGGGAAGCTGGCAACTTCGCGAAAGCTACACTGACTGGTTCCATCTATAAGTTACTGGATCCTATCAGCTATGTTCATCTTCATTTATATCATTTATCATATTTATGATATATATTTATTGTTGCTATTTCACCTGCAGCCTACCACTAACATGCAATATGAATCAATCACCTGTTCTTAATCTATTCTGAAAGAATCTGAAAAAAGTGGATTTCAGGGAAAACGTCCGGCACCGCCAATCCATCGTCCTCGCTGTAGCTGTGCCAGACCTCTGGGAAACCACCCGCCAAAAAAGCCGCCAAGTTGCTTCGCCACCGATGCACCACCACCATGACAATGGCGTGTCGACCATGCGCCTCCCACAGCATTGGAAAGCACAAGAGTATTAATGTATAATTATTAATGTACACACACACACACGCTGAAACTGAAGACGTTCAACTTTTCTCGAAGCCCATGCATGTGCGCCGGCAATGCCGTTCTCTTTTTTCTTGAACTGCACAGCTTTTCGCCGCTCTGAAACTGTGCACTTTGGGCACGAAAAGCCAACTGCACTGCACAGTGCGGTGTCTGGATCTTTCTTTGGCAATGCGACATTTTGGGGGCCGGGATGACCTTGTTGTCCATGTTGTCCCCAATGATCCTGATCATTTCTTGGCAAAAACAGCCTTTAACTTTGAATATGAAACTGCCATGTGCAATTTCCCCATGTCATGTTGTGCTCCAATGTTTTGGTTGGGATGCGTGCTCGAGGAGTTCTGGCACAAAGTGGCACAAATCACTTCTTGGGCCGCAGGAAAAAAGTATAAAAAAGTGGGATCCATCCCCATCTTCTCATCAAACGGACGGATGTCCTCGGGCGGATGTCGAAGGTGAATGACTTCTGCCTGACAACCAGGATGGTTGGTACAAAAACTCACGCAGGGATAGAGTGGCTTGCCCTTCACATAGACCTCGGACATGCGATGGTCTCTGCCAGCGCTCAAGGACTTTGGGCTCCTCAGATCCACCAGCACACCAGGTCGTCGTGTTGCATGGGCACGCTCATCTCCAAGCCACGGCATGGAACCGCTCACCTCCAGTGTAAGTATCCCCATCGTCAAACGAGAAGGATGCTTCACCGTTACATTCTCCCAAGTAATCCTCTGGATCCTCTTGTGGCAAGCGACAAACGCCCATACGAAAGCTCACGCGCTCTCCTGGACGTGCTGAAGTTATTTTCACCTCGAAGTAGTGCAAAAGACCAGGCTTGAAGGCGGGCCCTATGGCTGCAGGGTACTGCTCTGGCCCGTCAGGTAGGATGCGCTCCTTCACCAGCGTCACCTTGCACCGTCTCGGCGTCCACGATGAGGCGTTCATCAAAAACCGGATCGGAAATCCACAGGCACCACCACGGCCGTGGAGCGCCTCGGGACGCCATCACACAGAGTGGCCAGATGGGGTCCAAACACCTCCCTCACGGTCTTCTCGCCCTCCAGGGGCGGCTGATCCTCAAGATCGTCAAGCAACAGCGCCTTCAAATACCCGTGCCGGGGCGTGGAGTCAAAGACCCACCGTGCGTGTTCCAACATGTCGTTACAGGTCACGCAGAGCTCTATCGCGTAGATCTCGAAGAGCTCCTCCTGAGAGCCTGTGCACCTTGATCGTTAGGTGTCGGGGCGATTGAGGCATCTCATCATCAGAGTTTGCTGCCATGCTGCGCAACGAAGACGTCAGGTCTTTTTTTGGGGGGGGAAAACTTGAGCCAAACAACAATGTATTGTGTACATCTATACAGTACCCAAATTCCAAAATGACCACAACATACTTGGGTTTGCAGGAAAAACAATCTCCACTCACACTGTTGCAGTGCTGTTCCTGGAACCAAAAGAATGCTGCGGGAAGAAACATCTCAAAACCAGTCTCTGCTGAAAGCACAAAATCCATATTGGCCCAAACAAGAAAACCTTGGGTGACCGAAGTTCGAAATGCCTCAAGTCCATTGGTCCATTGGCAAAGTTTCACAACCGGTCTCCCATGGTCTCCCTACTATCTACTTCCCCAAGTCTTCCCCACCTGATGAGCATCTGACGCCGTGGTGAGATGTTCAAATTCCCTGGCCACTGGTAAACGGCCTAAACCTCGGTCAAATCAGCACGGTGTCGCTATTGGGCCATGACAAACAACACAAATCGAGTCATCAATGATGTATAAAGAACAATTGAGAACTGATGGATAATTGTTAAGAATGTTTTAGTAATTATACATTATATCAGGGTCAATTAGAGTAAATATATATTTGTATATTATGTATATATTATTAATATATTATTATATGGCATTTAAAGACCCTTCACCAATGCTGAAAATTCAGTGAAGCCTGCACCTCTTTTCCTGATGCCTGAAGGCCGCAGAATCCATAGGTGAAACCAACTTGCAACGTGGTCAGGAGACGCTCTCAGCCCTTGGGGCAGCGCCTCCGCAACGGATTCGTCCTAAATGTTGACAGCACCCGAGCGCGTCAATACTCCCTGGTCAAGCTGGCAATGAGCTCTGCAGGTTCGATGTATCCTGATGTAATTTTTAGAGCGTCAGTGCACTTAATTGCTCAAACATGTGCCATGCGTCGCTAAGGGTTCGTTAAACAACAATGTCTCGGCACGTACCCAAGGAAAACGTAACAACAATGTGGACTAGTGCAAGTGAATAGACCCGGCAAACCAAAATAATGATCGGCATCAATATCCAAATTCAACAAACATCACCTAATTCTTGGGAAACTACAGTATCTCAACCAACCGCCTCAAGGTTCTACTTGAAGTGCCCGAGTGATGATTGCCTTTTGGCCAGCAATTCTACTAATTGCATCATGATCAATGAATATCTTGATATATCTTGATGTACTATAAAATTATCAGTGATAGTTTTTGGCTTTCGTGGTTTATTTTTACATTTTTTTTTCAGTATGATGTTTTTGTTTTGGGTATTTTTGTTCTGCCAGGCCACCCGATTCCGACTTCCCAGCAGGCTTGATGGCAGCATGGGATACGGCTTGCTGCCAAGTCCTTGATCTTCAACCACTGGATATGGGGTCGGTGCTGGGGATGGATCCGTTTTAGCATGATGATTTTGAGCAATCCCTGAGCACAGAACACAAAAATGGGATACATCCGACATGATACATCAAGAATACAAATCATTGAGAACCTCAAAACTGGGGCCTGTTTGGAAGGACTGGTTTCCCTGCCGACCTAAACCAATGTTTGTAGGATGGATCGGGGTGCATACTTTTCTGAACACAGGATGGGTTCTGCTAATATCGCGCGCTAGCACCAATAAGGTAATTACGCCATTTCCTGCATCTGCGCAAAACATGCCTGAAATTCACCGCAAAGAAATCATCCTTTGTTCCTCTACACCAGCCCAATGTGTTGGAATGACGGTGTTGAATTGACCGAGATAGACCAAAGTGTGTAAAGAACACACAAATGCTGTCACACAATGTTGTTCCTTTTATGGCAATGCTGCAACCTCATGTTGTCTCAAGAGTGGCAAACACCGCGAATGCCTTCAGAAACAATGTGCCCAAGGTGTCTGAAGTATCACCAGGTTTGTGTCTTTGCCATTGCTGCCATACAGCCCAGCCCAGCCGTCCTTCCATAACTCGCATTTGTTCGATCGTAGAACGGCAAGGCTTCAAAGTTCCACGGTTGGGCTTCTTGCTGTGCACGAGTTCCTGGGCCGAATGGCGATCTGGGGCAGCGGTAAGTAGGGCCTCCGGATATTGGCAAGATTCAAAAGCCACAACCTTCCTGAGTCAAAAATCTCTGGATATCTCTGGGACCCAAGCACTGGGAGCAATACATATGTATGTATGATATGCATGTATCATATATATATATATATTATATATATATACATACATAATATTGCATAATAATATCATGTTGAACGCCTGACATGTCTGTGGATTGCCTTCCACAGTAGACTTTGAGGCACCGACTACTGTACTGACCTCTTGCCTCATACCTCTGCCTTGGGATGCAAACAAAAAGTGCAGTGCATGCTCTAAGGGTGTGGGAGTTTTGGCTGCTGCTTCAGCACTGATAAAGACATATACAGATATCAGACTAGTCTCAGCATCTTACCATCTAATCTAGCCCACTAGCTCCACATACAACAGGCAACTGTGACTGTGTGTCTGCCTGTGTCTGCTTTTGGAGCACAAACAACATGTATAATCAAAAAATGTGAAAAATGTTGCCAAACTCGGCAGGATAGTTTCGTTGTGCCCAGCTTGGAGTTGTACTGGCAGTACCTGAGATGTTGTCACCAGGCCCTGGACAGCAGAGTTGAGAATTGGCCGTAGACATCAGGATCATCAGGCTTTAGAAAGAAACTTATAGAAGACATATAGAAGACATAATACAACCAACATAGATTGCCTCTCAATTACATTTCGTGAATTTGGCTGAAATCCAGAATCTTCACTGTCTTCACTGAGCGTTTTTTCCAAGATCTTCCAAGACACGTCTGCTGGCGTTGCTGCCGCTCGCTCGACTGACTCTACTGCCCTTGCTCTGTGTGGAACGACGACTTCCAGCGTTGCTCACCAGGTCGTCGGGTCGCGCGGCTTGGAGTGTTGGCTCCGACATCTGCGATCTCTGGGAGGAGTAGCTACTCCTCACAGCAATAGCAACTATGAATCATTCATGGCAAACAGAATAAATATTAATAAATCATATTAAACATGAATCAACTATGGCTTTGTTGGAAACTAGGCTACTGTACCTTCCGATTCCGCCGATGATCATCAATTTTCCTATTGAAAATAACAATTTTGATCATTTGCATCTGAGCTTCAAGGGCGCGGAGGGCGCCTTCTCCAGTAGCAAGGTACCAGTGCCTCCAGGGTGTTATCAGATTCTTGAAGCCTAGTAGCGTTGTGGTATCCCTTAATATCCCCATACATGTACAATAACAAATGGTAACAAAATGTAAAAAGTAGTGATGAATATATTATGGGGTTGGCTCTATAGATTCAAGAATCAAGAGGCACATGTCATATCACTTAATCCAAGCATCTACTCATTTCTAAATCCATTTATCTTGAGGGCGTTGGAGCTCTGCCACAGTCTTGAATTTAATATTATGGACGTCGTGCCCATCCTTGTCACAAACGGCATCCCAAATACCAATAGATACCAATAGCCTGTCAAAGTGTTCCAGCGGACCAAGTCTCACACCCGGCATTCGGGGGACATACCTTGAACTTTCACTCCTCGTTGACTTCTCATGAACATATGCTTCTGAAAGATATTCAAGCTCGCATGACAACAAAACCAGTTTTATATAATGTTAGTTTCATTTAGTTTCGATCTCTTTCTTTACTTTCCATTTCCTCAAGGCCAGCATTAGCATTGCTTTGAATATGCTGACCCCATCTGATCAACAGCAGCATCAATGATCGCCTGGCAATCTGGTGCTTCTTCTCAAGGTGCCAGTGATCTTCCCCTCTGTCAAAGTTGCCATACCTTTCCTGAGTTTCTCAGTCACTTCATGTCACTTCGGACTTCGAGTGCCGAAAATGATGAGAAATGAGAATAACCGCACTCAAGGCCACCTTGTAGTTGTGCTATACACAGAAATAAGTCAGTACAAACTCAGCGGAGTGCAGAAGAGAAACTGCATGAAAAGAGGAGGTTGCTGGATCAAAAAAGAAGGGCCTGGTATTCGAACCTCTGTGGCCCCTTATCTCTTTGGACAATCCACGCATCCAAATCCTATGTTACAAACCAACATAAACCAACATAAACCAACATTGCTTACAGGTTGCTTCTCATTGACAAGTTGATTTGCCAGCACGACCTTACATTCCTTTTGTATCTACCCTACCTAAACTACCCCCCCCTCCCCCCCTCCTCAAAATAATTTCCAAAATTATTTTCAGGGGGTTGATAGTGTCTTCGGTTGTTATACGAAACAACCCTCTTTAGGGTAAAATAATTTCTTACGATAGACCCCCCCCCTCCCCTTCATCGACGGTGGTGAACCTTCGTAAAAATTATTTCAACCCCTGGGGAGTTAATTATTTTGCCCCCCTCCGGAGACTCCAATCTTTACATATGTATACTTTGGGACCCCCCCCTACCCGACATGATCGCCTTCGCAGGTGTACCGGGGATATTCCATCCCTTCAAGAAAAACGCGGGGGTATCAACCAGGTTTTGGAATATGTTTAAAGAAAACATGTTGTTGAATAATTTTCCTAAGCAGTGGGCCTACGGATGTGCATATTGGAATATGCGAATTATAATCTAAGCCTTCAAATATACCCTGGAATAACTATGTTTTGACATAACTTCATCTAAATTTTAAATGGTTGAACAAAAAAAGATTTAAAAAAAACACTTGGGGATTCCCGCAAAAAAATGTTCAACCATCATCTTCATCACTGGGTTCTTTCCTACATATTTCCATTTTTTTCATACTTCCCCACATTTCTCTCACATTCCCTTCATTTCCTTCCAAAGAACACTCGGTGGGAATGACTGTGAAAGGGAAAGCATTCGGTGTTTATTTTTTTTTTCAGCTGGCAGCTGCTCACTTTGATTTTTGAGGAGTGCAGAGTATCTCCAATACCCCTAGAATAATTTCTTCCCTTGGGAAATCCCACGGAATGGTATTCAACCTGGCCCTTTCCTGTAGTGACACTGTAGTGATTTTCCTAACCTGTCATATTTCCCATTATTTCTCCCATATTCCCTTCATTTCCCTCCAAAGAACTCATTTTTGGGAAGCGTTCGGTTTTGATAGGTTTTTCATGTTTTTTCCAGTTTCTGGGCGAGTTGGATGGTTCTGGCAGCTGCTCACTTTGATTTTTGGGAAGGGCAGGATATCTCCACTACCCCTAGAATAATTTCTTCTCTTGGGAAATCCCACAGAATAGTATTCAACCTGGCCCTTTCCTGTAGTGATTTTCCTAACCTGTCATATTTCCCATTATTTCTCCCATATTCCCTTCATTTCCCTCCAACGAACTCTTTTTTGGGAAGCGTTCGGTTTTGATAGGTTTTTCATTTGTTTCCAGTATATGGACGAGTTTGATGGTTCTGGCAGCTGCTCACTTTGATTTTTGAGGAGTGCAGGGTATCTCCAATACCCCTAAAATAGTTTCTCCGCTTGGGAAATCCCACAAAATAGTATTCCTTTCCTGTAGTGATTTTCCTAACCTGTCATATTTCCTCTTATTTCTCCCATATTCCCTTCATTTCCCTCCAAAGAACTCTTTTTTGGGAAGCGTTCGGATTTTATAGATTGTTCAATTGTTTCCAGTTTATGGGCGAGTTGGATGGTTCTGGCAGCTGCTCACTTTGAATTTTGGGAAGTGCAAGGCATCTCCAATACCCCTAGAATAATTTATCCTCTTGGGAAATCGCACAAAATGGTATTCAACTTAGCTCTTTGCTATAGTGGTTTTTCTAGCCTTTCATGTTTTTCCCTCTTTCTCCCATATTTCCTTCATTTCCCTCCAAAGAACTTTTTTTTGGGAAGCGTTCGGTTTTGATAGGTTTTTCATGTTTTTCCAGTTTCTGGGCGAGTTGGATGGTTCTGGCAGCTGCTCACTTTGGTTTTTGAGGAGTGCAGGGTATCTCCAATACCCCTAAAATAATTTTTCCCCGTGGGAAATACCACAAAATAGTATTCAACCTGGCCCTTTCCTGTAGTGATTTTCCTAACCTGTCATATTTCCCATTTTTCTCCAATATTCCCTTCATTTCCCTCCAACGAACTCTTTTTTGGGAAGCGTTCGGTTTTGATAGGTTTTTCATTTGTTTCCAGTATATGGGCGAGTTGGATGGTTCTGGCAGCTTCCCACATTGATTTTTGAGGAATGCAGGGCATCTCCAAGATCCTTTGAATAATTTCTTAAAGAACGAGTTTGGTTTCGAGTTGCAAGTTTTGATGCGTTCTTGCTGCAACTTAAGATTGAGGGGGATTCTGACATGACTACCAGGGAGCACACATGAAACATGATGTTGAATTTATTTGCGTTGTAGGATTCGCAACGCATCAATCCTAAAAAACAAAAAACCTAAAACATAATAAGCCACTTTTGCAAGCCCAACATTGCGCAAGATGGGATATCGCATTGTTCTACATCGTTTCCTCCGAAAGTTACAACACTGCCATCACTGCGAAGAAGTGCTGTGTGAACACAGCCTGCAGAAACTTGAGTGTACGACCAAAGGTGGAATATGTCATCGGATCAAAACAAGGTCAAACACCAAAATTATTTTGAAATATTTTTTTGCTGTGAGAGTGTTTTCGTCAAAATTATTTTGAGGGGGGGGTAACCCATCAAAATAATTTCCAACCAGAAATTATTTTGGCAATGGTTAGAGTCTATAAATCTATACATCCAACATGTTAGATTTTTGAAATTATTTTCAAAAAATTATTTTGGAGGGTAACCCCCCCCCTTGAAATAATTTCATTAAGGTAGGAGGGATCCTTTTGTCAAACTGCCATAATTCGCCAACTTCCGCATCATCCCTTGATCCACTGGAATTGATAGCTGAATTACCCAAACTGACTCAAACATGCTCAATCTGCCACTGAAGTTCTTGTCTCTGAAGCCCGGCTCGGTTCTGTGTTGGCTCACACCCGTCTTTTCGTAGAAGGCACCCATGCGCTTGGACATCCCCGCAGGAAAGCAGGGCGCCTGGAAGCTCTGTCCAGCATGGCCTAGGCCGCTGTGGGAAACTCTGGCTCTTTGCCTTCCCATTTAACAGTGAATGTGATGAAATATGGGATATGGATGGATATGGGATCTGGCTGGATATGGAATTTATAATATATTAATATATATTATAGATAATTTATAGATTATAAAAAATATGATGGTATATTATGGTATATGATGGAATATGATGGAATATGGATACTGTACCCATAGCTCCTGAACTGCAACCCAACCACCAAAAAAGTCGCCTATAGGGCCTATTGTTTGCTTGTTTCATTTGCGAAAGTGCTTTGAGCTACAGAACTTTCTGCCAAAATGATCCAAAACGGATTTTGTGTTTCTCCAGCTACAAGGCATGTCTTTGCTGGCTGAAAAAACGTTCACATCAGTTGAATTCAGTTGACACATCATACATCCCTCCACCACCGGAGCACTGTCTTTAGCCACAGCCACAAGGGACATGAACTCCATACTCAGTGGATGTGATCGTAAACTCCTTCGGACGAGTTTCGCCTGGTCATGGGCGGAATGGGTTTTTTGAGCACTTTTCAATACTTTTCAACTACAAAAACGGTGTGTTGGGTTGGGACTAAACTTGTAGATCTGTAGGCCAGATTAGGCCAGAAGCTTGAAGCATGAACTAAATTAAATACAGTATTCTTAAATAACTTAAATACATTGTTCCCACTCTATTTGAAAACGCTTACCCAAGTCGCTTGGGGACCTGACCTATAGTCTTTTGATTGATCGGATGGAATACTTCCAAAACAAAAGAAGGCCTGACCGCAAAGGCCACTGATTGTTGATGAGGTCAGCAGTTTGAAGGCCCAGGGTGTCATAGGGAACTGTGATGCCAGCGGCCATCGCTTTCAACGGCCGGCCAGGCTTTCTTTTCAGCACTTTGAGCCATCGGGATGCAGGGACAAGCATCGGGATGCAGGGACAAGCATCAGCTGCTGAAATACCTACAGAACCCATGCCGTGATGAAATTGAAGTACACAACCACACAACCCGAAATTCTAGTGCCAACATAGTGCCAACGTTTAAAAGGAAGCCATAGGAAGCCATAGGAAGCCCTCAAATTTGCCACTAAACCAAGGCCCAGGCGTTGCAAAGTTTGATCATGCACTAGCCAAAAGCGCGGAGCCGTTGGTATCTGAGCTTCTAAAAGGCTCGCCCGGCCTCGGGGTGAGATCCCAGCAAGATGCTCAAAAATCATAAAAAATCTAAAGAACTGGCGACATGTTGAATGGGGACGTGTTCCATTCCCTGATGGAGTAGCTAGCATAGTTAGCACCCAAAGTTCCTTGGCTCGTGGCTGGCTAAGCAGCCGCGACAGAAGTGCCTGCTTCCTGAGATGTCAAAAACCAATTCCCCCCTGGCAGCCAAGAGTCCTGATGGGCCTGATGGCTTGCTTGAGAGTTGAAAGGACAAGCCGGGCAAACCAGGACAAATTTGTCAGCCACAAGGACAAGTACCTGCCTAACCTAAAACGGCAAACCAAGAGTTCGCCAGAAAAGCCTTCCTCTTTCCCTGCTAATCTGGTTCCCAAAAATGAGCAACAACGGCAATCTATGACTTCATGCCCAGTGTCTGAGCAGGGTGTCCAACCCAACCTCAGTGCAAGCTGTGGCTACCCAACAAAAAACTGTCCAATAATTCGAGATCGGAGCAGAACTTGTGGATGTCCAGCTATTTGTGACACAACGCCTCGATCCATAGTCAACTCTTGAGATTCCCACCATTGAGCGTGCCAACCACAACTCTTCCAGCACTTGCGCGTGCAGCTCATCATAGGAGAGCCTCCCAGGTCACGAACAATCCCCTGGCATTCTCTGCAGATTTCCACCCCAAGTGAAATCAATTCAACGATATGCATCAAAGCTTTGATAGGAAGGTGAGTGCAAGCAAAGTGTGAGAGACGAGCCTTGTCATTGGGCCCATGTACCTGGTCGGGAATAATTGAAGGAAGTATAAGAAATTGTTCTGGTCAGCATCACTGAATTTTGCATGGACAAAGAAGTAGATGAAGGACTGCTAAGTCAACTTAAGATATATATATATATATATGCGCTACATATGTAATTAATCGAAGAAAGTTTAGAAGTCAAACTTCCGACAATATGGGCAGATGAAAAGCAGAGATGGGAAGAGTCAGAGAGAAGAGAAGAGTAGAAGAGAGAAGATCAGAGAAGAGAAAGAGTCAGAAGAAAGAAGATGCAGGTGCGCGAAAAGGTAGGAAAGTCGCAAAACGCTGTGATTTTCCAATGATTTGTGGCTCCGGAGGGTCAAAAAGTAGGCTCACTAAAGCGGCGGGTGCGGAGCCATCTGGCCAGATGAGAGATGAAAAATTGCACGCCGTTGTGGCGCGAAGCACATTTCAAAGTCAAAATGTACAAAACACACCAGCTTCGGACCACTTTTAAAAGTTGCGATGTCGAAAAAGTGCACGCCATTGTGGCGCGAAGCACGCTTTGAAGTCAAAATGTACAAAACACACCAGCTTCGGGCCACTTTTAGAAGTTGCGATGTCGAAAAATTGCACGCCGTTGTGGCGCGAAGCACCTTCTCAAAAGTGAGCAAAACGTGAGGGTTTTGTAACATTTCCAAAACGATGGCTGGCGTGGGGCATTTGAAGAGGATCTGCAAAGATGCATTCTCCGTGGCAGGCGCAGTACAAGAGACATGTTCATCAGAGATGTTAGTAGGTCAGGGCGCTGATTTCCTGAGAGGG